TTTATTTGCACATTTATTCTGTGGTTCGTATATGTGCCTTTTAAATGGTCTTGGATTCTTGGCTGCTGTTGCATTTGTAGAAGTTGAATGATGAGCTTCAGTCCTTTTTTGAGTTTGTTTCCGGAAGTCAGTTGGGCATTTTTGTTATTATAATCAATGTAGGCAAAGCTAAAGTGAAACACTTTATGGGAAACTTTTAACTTCGTAACTCCAGGAGTTCTGGGCCAAACAAGAAATTCTGCTGAGGGACACAACCGTTTGATGCATCTGATCTTTAGATTTTTTTTACTTTTATTTTTTATTTTTTATTTTTTGGTTAAAGCATCTGATCTTTAGTTGATACTATCTAAGTTCATGCTCGACGTTGGGAGTAAAGTTGTAATTGTTTGAATCATCTGGAGATGCGTATAGTGTGTAGTGTGTAGAATAATTCCATAAACATGATCAAATAGACCTTGTCAGCCATGAAACAAAGCATCTATCAATAAAGTGAGTAGATTTGGCATTATTAGTCAGGTTCAGCTGTTGATGCTCAGATTATCAAGGTTTAGGACCAGGCTAAAAATAAGTTTACTTTATCATCTACCATCTACAGGTGCTTGGTAAAGATTGACTCAACAACACTGAGCTATGAGATGAGAACTTTCACAAGCCTCTGCAAACACCCTTCCAGCCAAAATCTGTTCTTCCACCTTTGTGGTGCCTCGTGACAGTGTAGAGTGGTCGAAGGGACTTCGTCTCCCAACTTCTTTTAAAGATTTCTCTACCTCACCATGGCAATCTCTGCACTTGGATGAAATGGCTTGTTGGAGGAATGCCACTTTTAGCTCATAATCCTTTGATCATCATAGCTTGTGTTGTCTATCCATGGCTTGGATCTGCACAATCAACCAAATATGACACTGGTAAGACGACAATGCATGGGAAACCAGCTTACTCTATCAATATTTGCCTCGTCTTTGGGTGAAAAGGAAAGATAGTCTGAAGTCTGAACCTTGAGATATGCATAAAAGGAATTAAATTAGGATCATATGTAACAAGAATTAAATTATGTGACCCGACCCGAGCCGATGGCATGGCCATTGGGTGGGTTACCCTTAAATAACCACACACTTGGTCTTGGGCTCACCTAATCCAATTATTTAGATTTGGGCTCATAAAGTATGGAGCCCTTTAGGCTTGTAGACAAGCAGGGAATTAAAAGTTGAGACGTTGAGTTGACAGGGTATTTAATGGACATGGCTAGCACTCCTTGCAAAACATTTGCACTTAAAAAAATTACTTGCGGAAACACATATTAAATGATTAAGAAAATTTAAGGTAATACATATTAAGAAAATTTTTTTTTGAACATGAATAGCACTCGAATCTCACACCGTGAAATCATAATATGAGAAGGATGAGGTGGTCACTAGACTATAAATGCGTTATCCATGTTAAGAAATTTTATTATATAATTTAAATTATGTTAAACGATTTATTTTTTATTTAATAATTAATATAAATAATTTAATACGATACAAATTACATTATATTTTTTTCATAAATATTAGGGTTTGTTTGGTGAAATTTTTATTTATTTTTAATACTATTTATGAATCATAAATTTAAAATTTTATTAAAGAAAAAATTTAAAAGTTATTTTTAAAAATAATAAAAAATGAGTAAAAATAAAATTTATAAATAAAAAATTAAAATTTTTTAAAATTTATTGTTTAAATTTTTTTCAAATTAAAAAAAAAAATAAAAAATATAAATTCTTTAAAAAAATTTTAAAATTTATAAAATGTAAATAATGTAAAAAAAATCGCATCACTTACAAGTTCACCAAAATGCTCATGAAGTACTTAAAAAAAAAAAAAAAAACTTTTTTCCGCTCATGAAGTAGTGCAGGTATTTTAAATACTCACTTCTCCTATTCGAGCTGAACCGATACTCTGTAGAAACACTCTCGTTTCTCTCTTCTCTCGCGCGCGCCGCACAAAGCAAAGAAGCAGAATCAGAAATCAAAGAGAGGAAGAGAAGAGGAGAAGTCAGTTTTCTGTCCAAGAAAAGGGGAAGAAATGGACGACTACACCAGAGAGATGATGGACCTGAAAACCCTCGTCACGCGAACCCTAGAGAAGAAAGGCGTTCTTGCCAAGATCCGGGTAAGAGACCCTTCCACTCCGTTCTTAAATTTTCTATCCTTTTTTCCGTTTGGTTCCCGAGAATGTGCGTTGGAAAAAGAAACGAAATTGAAATGAAATGGGATGGGATGGGAGAATTGCCTCGGCTGAGCTAGAGAGATTATTTTAGCTTGGATCTCGTGTTCATGATGACAATTGAATATCTCTTCTCCTTCGTTTGTTTAACTTTGCAGAATTTGTATTCTATCTCTACGTTTTCCTATTCTCTGGTATGTCAAGTTCGTATGGTAGATCTTAAGATGCTCATATGAAATTACTAAAGAACAAATTTTGCTTAATGAAGTGTAGTTTTTGGGGTAAGTCATGTAAATTGTGCTTGCGAATGTGGATAATATAAATATTCCGGGTCAGTACTTTGCATGTTAGGTTTTTTTGTCTGACATGATAGAAACTTGAATGATTGTTTAGAATGACTAATTATGTGATAAAAAAAAAGGGGAGCTTTCTTGTTTATCATTTGAGTAGAAATCTGCAAGATAGGTATTTTCTGATAAAAGAAATGAGCATGTATTTGTTTGTTTTAATTTGTTGTTCACCCTTCTCATTTTCTTGCTAGGCTGAACTCAGGGCAAGTGTCTTTGAGGCAATTGAAGAGGAGGATCAGGTAATTGAAAAGGATGAAGGTTTGCCTCCTGCACTACTGGGTAGCTGCAATGATCGTGCAAAACAACTCCATGCTTCTTCTTCTGGTTAGTCTGTAACTCTTATGTTAGCCTCTTTGTATTATGACCTCAGTTTATAAGTTGAGAAATATACAGATCAGAATTCAGAAATAACCATTTTTCTTCTTGTTTACTCCCTACCAAGTCTTCTTCTGGCTGATTGGTCTTTTCATCATATCAAATGTTTGTCTTACTGCTGTATGATGATTTGAGGCCTTGATAGCATTGTTGCATCCATGAGAGCTAGCAGGGCCAAAATGTTTATTTTTCTTTACTGCACCAGAATTTATGCATACAGAGGCCTGATGGTTTTCTAGATTGTATTTTTTTAATCATTTATAAATCTTGAGTTCTTGTTGATGTTGAATATTTGATGCTTCTGAATTCCATTTGCGTTTATTGATGTTCGAGTCTTCTTCATTATTTTCTTTTTAATTTTGTTGCTTTACTTTCCAAATGCAGGAAGACTTTTAACAGCACTAATATGTGAATATTTAGACTGGGCGCAATTAAACCACACCCTAAAAGTCTATCTGCCAGAGTGCAATTTGGTAATCAAGTAATTTTCAATGTGTTATGGAGCTGATCTATCTACATTGTTCCATTTGAAGCTTATATGTGAATGGTTGTCTGTCTTCTCTCTTTTCACATTGCAGCAAAAGGACTTTTGGAAAGCTGAGTTGAAAGAATTTGGTGGCAAAAACGATTATGATCCCAACAGAAATGGGGATAGTGGTCCTTTGCTTTTGGATGTTCTTGAAGGCTTTTTAAAGTTTGAGGTTAGATAATCTTTCTTGCCTTATTTTTCATTCATATAGACGAACTTGTTTGAGAATATGAGGTTTATTATAATGATAGTATTTTTGTCACCAGTGGCTCATCTGCTCTGTTGTTTGCATAGTGGCAGTCAGTTGTTTGATATATATAACAATTAGATTCTGTAAATGTATAATATCATTTTATCTACCTTTAGATTGGGATGATCTTCTGGATGACTGAGCTTCTAAACTATGGTGAGGCTTCTTAGTTAGAATGAAGCTATGAGAGAGCAGTAGAATAACACAAGGGTAGATGAATAAATGCTTGTTGACCTTTTGAACCCGCCAATTAGATGGAGGTGGACGTTCACATCATTGCTTGATTTTGCATGATAATGGTAAGGCCAAGGGCAAGCAAGTCGTCAGAATTTGAGTTTTAGTTTTTGTTGTTGTTTGCTAGGTCCAGATACGATCATATACCATCTCACCTTATGCTTGTGTCGGACAAGAGAGTTTGACTTGTGCTGTTACATAAATTTGATTGATGTTATTTGAAATTTTGGTTTTGTCTGGTAACACATATATGTGCAATTCTCCCAATTTTGTCAATAGTACTTCAGAATGAGAAACTAATAATAGTTTTAAATCATGTTTTGTAGAATATATCCCAAGCTAGGGGAACTGGAAGGAGACCTCCAGAAACTGAGGCTTTATCTAGTTTAGAGCCTAGGAATGCAAGAAGATTCTCATCATCATCTGTGGCTGGGGGTTTACCTCCACTAGCAAGGTGCTTAACTAGTATCACACCCATATTTCTTTTAATCTTATCTTCTAGTTCTTTTGTGATTTCCTTTTCCCTTTCCCATGCTAATGAAGCTGACTTTTTTTTTTTCTCTGCTTGGTGTTACAGGCCAGTTCCAGTTTCCCAATCATCTGGTGGGTAATATATCTTACATATTTTTTGTTATCTTTTTACTTTGATTACTGTTTTGTGTTTCCTTATCTGATACATTCTGCTATTTAGACAGGAGAGCAGGATCCTCCATGTCTGGCTACAGAAAAGATGAGTACAATTGGAGATACGACAGCGACAATGTTCCAGAGGATGTAATTCGAGCTTCAGCTGCCCTGGAAGACCTTCAGTTGGATCGAAAAGCCAGGAATTTAACTTCTTCATGGCGGTTTGTTCCTCACTCCTGCTAATATAATCCTAGCGTCCTGTTTCATATAATTTGGGATATCAAGCAGTAAAAACCTTCATAGATTCAATGTCATAATATTCTCAGATTGATGATATGTTAAGACATATCTTGTTTGCTTTGGTTGCAGGCACGGTGGAGATGGAATCAGTGAGGAAGATGATGGAAGAGATTGATCACACGTAGCTGAATGACATCTGTAGTGTTAGTGTGTATTTCAGGTTTTCACCCCCTAAATGTCCTTTTTTTTTTTAACCATAATTAAGGGTAGAGTGAAGCTTATGTAAGTTTTACGAATCATGTGGTGCTCTAGTGCTCTCCTTGAGCTTTCTACTCTTTTTGCCTTCTGCTTTCGGATCCATTCTGATATCTGAATGATTCATTCTGTAAAACTCTCTTCGTTGAGTTCAATGCCGCCGTTCTGAAAGTTTTGGATTGATATGTTGATTAATTATCATGGAAAAAGTGCTTATCAGTTTTATTTCTTAAAGATTAAGAGGAAAATTATCCTTAGCAAGAAAATCATTTTAAAATTATTTCGTTTTAATAAATTTTTATTAAAACATACATTAAGGTGATTTTTATTTTTATTTTTTAAAATTTTTTTAAAATAAAGCAGAAAAACACTAACCTCAATTATCATTATACATGGTTAAGAAATCCTGCTTTGAACAGTAGTAATAATTAAAAGTGAAATGTGTTAAAATCGAGTCAAATGACGTTTTGTGTGGAATATGAAGATATGAAAGGTTGTTGTTTGTCATCATGCATTTGGTAAAAAACTACCGGCTACCAGAAAAAGAATCTCAGAAAATTTGGTCGGCACAGGTCAATAAATTTCCAAAATCTGGCACGTGAATTAAATTATTTAAGACGTGAGCCCCACGTGTTCTCCTTCCTCGCTTTGAGGGACTCCCAGACAAAGAGAAAGAAACGAACCAAACGAAGCGAAGCTTCCGCACCAAGACACGTAGCCAAGCAGTTCTGTCCATGGCGGTCTTTAGCCGTTGCCTGAGTGCGAGAGCATCGGCGGCGTTAAACCCGGCGACGGCGTTTGCTTACATAATTCGAGATCTCTCCGCTTCTTCTTCTTCTTCTTCTTCGACGTTTAATTCCGGAAGTGACCTCAAATCGAGCTCTGTGCTGGTGCAGAATCCGCTCCATCTGAATGGAGGACCCGAGGGTAGAAATGTCCAGTGGGTGTTCTTGGGATGCCCCGGAGTTGGGAAAGGCACATACGCCTCTCGCTTGTCGAATCTCCTCGGTTTACCTCACATCGCCACCGGCGATCTCGTCCGCGATGAGCTCACTTCCTCTGGTCCCCTAGCCTCTCAGGTCTGCTTTCAATTTTTGTCTCGACTTTCGCTTCCTGGAATTTCAGTTCTGGAAATTTGCTTCTAGTCTTTTTCAATTTCAAATTTTGGTATTGTTTGACCTAATGAATTCGCAGAAAAGTAGTGTGCTTGGCAGCTTTTTCTTTTTTTTGGGTATTTTGTTGTTTCTCATTGTCTTTTTACGGTGCAGCTCAAGGAGATTGTTAACCAGGGCAAATTGGTTTCAGATGAAATTATAATAAATTTATTAAGCAAACGTCTAGAAGCAGGAGAAGCTAAGGGTGAATCTGGGTTCATTCTTGATGGATTTCCTCGGACAATAAGACAGGCGGTGAGTGCTATGTTTGATCATTTGCCTGAATATGCTTTATTATATCAAACATTCGGAAAGACAATGTTGCTTAAATTTTATTGTTCCAGTTCTGTTTGGTTTTGAGTTTGAAAAGTTTTATGTGGTAGGGGTAAGTTGTTCAAAGATATTAGTAGCATACCACATGTAGAACTGAAACGTGTATATTGATAGTTTTGAGAGAATTGATTGATGGGATAGTTAGGTACATGCTATCATGTTTAACATGGACTAGAAATAGCTATGGAGATGTTCCAAATACTCGCAATGGAGACCTGTTAAATTAAACTTCTAGTCTTATAGTGCTCATTTTATTTTCTTTATTTTTCAGGAAATATTAGAAGAAGTAACAGACATTGACTTGGTAATAAACCTGAAGCTTAGGGAAGAAGCATTGCTTGCAAAATGCCTTGGCAGAAGGATTTGCAGTGAGTGTGGAGGAAACTATAATGTTGCCAGTATTGACATCAAGGCTGAGAATGGGAGTCCTGGGATGTACATGGCTCCACTTCTTCCTCCCCCTCAATGTTCATCAAAGCTCATTACTCGAGCTGATGATACAGAAGAAGTTGTGAAGGAACGGCTCCGTATTTACAATGAGATGGTATGCATCTTTATAAATTTGCTTTCATTAATACATTAACAGATGGTGTGCATTTTATGTCAATAATATACTTTCCTTAGTAGCTTTTTATCTAGCTGGTAAATTCTATGAAATTTTACTATAAGATGGCACCAAGCCTCCATTCATGTTTGATTGACCAATAGTTTGATATGTACTTGGCTACTGGGGATGGCTTGCATCTATATCCTACTAGGAAATTGTACTTGACCATAATCCCATGCCATTTGAATGCCAAACTTCTCATTATGATTTTTGTTTGTTGCTTTCTTGATATTAGCAAAGCAGAGATGTGTGTCTATGGTTTTCTTTTCCCTTTTTGGCTTTTGGTCTGCATTCAGCCACTCATGTGTTTGTTTTCACAATACGTTACTATTGGATCCTTGAGTTTGGCACCAGCCATGTCTTCTTGCAGTATCTGTGTCTAACGTTACATTTTACCCAGCCAACTAACTCGAAGTTTATTTTCAGTACCAGTGTTGTAATTCATAAGTAATGTACTTGTCTTTTCATCATTGCTGTCGTCATCATTAAGGGTTTATGATTTCCAAAGGTGAATTTGAGGATTTCAGCCATATGTCCTTACCTTTCCCCTGCAGACTCAACCTGTGGAGGAGTTCTACCGCTGCCGTGGGAAGTTGTTGGAATTTGATCTTCCAGGGGGAATCCCAGAATCATGGCCAAAGTTGCTTCGAGCTCTGAATCTTGAAGATCACGAAGACAAAAGGTCTGCAGCAGCATGATGCCTTATAACCCTGTACTATATGGATTATATTTACAAGGTAATTTAGTTCATTCTTTGCATGTGCAACTTGTACATGCATTTTGATTTTTGCACACGAACGGAGGTTAAATATTTATATGAAATAAGCCAAGAAATGCCTAAACTTTTAAACGAGGTAGCTTCCTATTGTTTTAGCCAATAAGAAAAGATTCCTTTGTATCAAGTTATGTGTAAACGAATATGAATATGGGAATATGATGGGAGAGGTTGGGGAACTATGCTATTTTCATTGGTTGTTGATTGCTTGCCTCAGTAAATATATCTGTCATTCAATTTTAGCTGTATATTTTTATTAGTATATTCTATTATGGATCTTGTGAATCTGGAAAACTCGGAGAACAGAAACTAAACTAGAATATGTATGGATAACTTAGAAGTGCAAGTTTAAGCTTTATCTCTCTGGCATGATTTTGTAGCATGATTCATGCGTGTACATGTAAACTTCAGAATTTGTGTATCTGGTAAGAAAAATAGGATGTGTCTGGATTTGGTATCTTTCTGCTTTCTGTGTTGAAAGGAAAATATTATTGAGAGAGAGAGGAGGACCTGAAACAAGGATGCTTATTGTTATTTGCTTAGGTTCAGAACAAAAGGCAATTTGTATTTCCAGTGATAGACATTGTAAGGGAGACTTTGAATCTGTTTCCTCGTTCAGGAAGCCAAGTCTCTCCAATCATGATCTCTGCCTTCTTCATGTTTCTTCACAAGGAACCCATATGTTAGCGCTGTTTAAGAAGGACCCTAATTATTAGAGCAGTGAAGCACCCGTTCTCTTTTTTTTTTTTTCTGTGATTCATAAGATGAAATGTTGCATTAGAAGTTCAGACAAATGTAGAAAGTAAACAATAACAATTGATGCGGAATTCCTTGGTATATTTGATGAACAGGGTCCTTTTTTTCAAAGTGATGAAAATATGACAACTCTACAATTGGGGTCGGGGGTATAGGTTTGCGAGCGCCATGGTTTGAGCTGGTATCGTATGCGTCCATGGGGTATACTGAATCGATGAAATTTTTTTGGAATGTTTGACGGTAGATAATGCGGCAAAGAACTGCCTTTTCCTTTTTCAAAATCCTTATCCATTATTCTCATAAAATATGAGTTGTCTAATTTGAAATGTCATATTCTTATTAGTTGAGGCATCTTTACAAGGTTGAATTGCTAAACGTTTCAATCAACAGAAGCTGAGATTTTGTTCTTTTTTCTTTTCTTTTTTCTTTTTTTTTTTTCAGGTTTTTATTTTTTTGGTAAACTATTCCGTTCCAGAGTTGAACTTTAGAAGATACAAGAAAATGCTTTAAATTTACAACCAAAAAAAAAAAAAAAAAACTTTGATTTTTATATAAGGTTATCGTTTATGATTTCTTCGCCATACACTTAAGTTGCAGAAAGCAGAATAGCACTAGAGTGATGGTCAACCTGAGAATTTGAATATGAGATTTTTAAATTAAAAATTTTGGTTAAAGGGAAGGTAGGATCAAGCGGAATGAATATATTAATGTTTATCAGTTGGATTTATAAAAAAAATTAAATGAAAAGATATTTTAAAAACTTCTCATTTTAATAAAATATTAATAAAAAGTTGAAATATTCTTATCCATATTTTAGAAATAATTAAGATATTTTAGTTTTTTAATAAATTTTATTAAACTAATGTAGTTTTGAGATTTTTTTTATTTAATTTTTTACACTACATGTTGATACCCACTTTTCTCATGTGTGTGTGTATATATATATATAAAGAGATATGTCATAACTAAATTGATAAAAGTTTAAAACTCTATGTTTAAATCTTAAAACAAGCAGGGGG